GTCTGCAAAGGCCCTGAGTTAAAGTGGCTCCCATGTCATTCGAGCAGTGAATCTGCTCTGGGTTTTAGTCTGAATATCAAAGGAACTATCCAAGGTACTAAACCCTATAAGCGCTCCTTAAAATTCAAGCTACAACCGAGTGCTGACTCAGAGTATCACTGGCATGGGAGCAACCAGTTAGCATTGAGTTATGCTGCTTTTCAAGAATTTCTATATATTGCTGAAAAGCAATAAAATAAAATAAAATATTGTGAGGAGGCATGATGCTCTAGATTCCCCCAAGCTATTAAATAAAAATGTGAGAAAAATCTATGTATTATGAGGTTATGATCTCTTCTATTTCATACAGGTGATCTGTGGCCAAGATGAGGCTACAGAAGAGGAGGAGGAAGACAATGGAAAACCATCCAAAGAGCAACAAAGGTCCCGGGTACAAAAGAAGAAAAGCCAGCTCTCCCTGAAGTCCTCCTTAGTAGCTTCCTCCAATTTACAGAACACAAGTCTACTAGAGTTGGCCTCCACCAACAACCAAGAATTTTGGGATGTCCTAGAGAGTTTGTCCAAGCAAGGCCAAGGTCCACAGGCCTTGCGTGGCCGAAGGGACTCTGTCGCCAGCCCTAGTCGGCTTAAGAAAATATTTGGCTGGGGTGACTTCTACTCCAACATCAAGACAGTCAAGTTGAATCTCTTGATCACAGGCAAAGTGGTTGACCACGGGAATGGCACAGTCAATGTCTTCTTCCGTCACAACTCCACTGGCCATGGCAACATCTCTGTCAGCTTGGTGCCCCCCAACAAAGCTGTGGAGTTTGACCTTGAGCAACAAATCTTCATTGAGGCAAAAGAATCCAAGATCTTCAACTGCAGGGTGGAGTATGAGAAAGTGGACAAGGCGAAGAAGACCACCTTGTGTACTTATGACCCATCCAAGACCTGCTTCCTGAACCACACACAGAGTCAGGTTTCCTGGGTTTGCTCCAAGCCCTTCAAGGTCATCTGTATCTACATCACCTTCTACAGCATAGACTACAGGCTTGTGCAGAAAGTGTGTCCTGACTACAACTACCACAACAATGTTCCTTATTACCCCTCTGGGTGACAACATACCTCTTCTGAGCTCAGAAGCAGCCCAAGTCCCAACACACAACTTGATTGGGAGCAGGAAATGGGAAATGGAGGCCATGATCTGGGAGGAGGATGTGTCATGTCACTCCAGTGCTAGACAAAACCACCAAACAAACCTGGCCTCTGCTAAAGGACAGTTGGTTTGGAGGGGAGTTTGAGAGAACACAAATCAACAAACCACATTTGCAAGGAGCTCTGCAGTCTTATAAATAATACTGTAACCAACCAAATCCACAACCTCCCCACTTTCATGCATACTCTCAGACCAAATCATTTAAATGTTTGAGGCAAAAATTCAAAATGGCACTTTCTCTCCATTGGTATTCCTAAATACAGGGCCCAGTCCATCAGGGAATTCTGCTATGAAAACTCCCAGTAGACTTCTGTAGAAGAACTGAAGGGGTGGCTAGTACCTCTAAGTCAAGGGTGAGCAACTGTGGCCCTCCAAATGTTGTTAGATTACAACTCCCAGCATCCCTCATTTTCGTTTATGCTGGTTAGAGCTGCTGGGGGTTGTAGTTCAATGGCATTTGGAGGTCTAGGGAATTCCCTCCCCTGCTCTGTGACAAAGGCAGACAAGTGTGGTCCTCTAGATATTTCTGAATTGTAATTCTCATAATACCTTGTCCCTCGCTATACTTGTAAGGGCTGATGGGAGTTGTAGGACAAAGACATCAGGAGGGTCACAGTCGACCATCCTTGCCCTAGGGTAAGATCCATCTATTTACCATTTAGTCACCCTTAATGACACCTAAAATCTGACAGTTATTGCCTTGCCCTGCTTCATCTCCCTTCCGCTGAGTCTCTTTAACAAACTTAAAATAGACAAAAACAGATCAAGCAATTGGAACATTTCAGTTTCCAAAGGGCCATCCCTGGATTATAAATGGTGCATGATCAGCTCCCTGGCAGATAGGTGGAAAAGCTAAGCACTTCACTATAATCATTTCTTCAATTGCCCTACTAAGCCTTCTTCTTTACAACTAATATGGTCCAGCTACTGTTATGACAGAGTCCCACCCACCTCCTAATGTGTGAATACTATTCTGAATAGGATACTTATATAATTTATCTGTTGCTGCTACAACAAATGTATAGCATTGTGTGGGTAGTACCACAGGAAAGAATGCAACTCAAAACAATTGAACTGTCACAAATTTTAAAGTAAGGGTGGGCCCCCACAGATCTCTTTGTGACTCTCAGCCTCTCCAGTCTCACCTAACTACCTTTCTTCTGGATCCCAAAATGGTAGACTGCCTCTTCTGAAAGCTTCCAGGATCAGCAATTCCCCTTTCAAATAGAGTGCAGGGCTCCCTTGAATAATGTGACATAACATATACCTGTTTCTCAAAACCAAAAATGACTTCCAACCACATCTCCTTTAGGGAAGAGGTTAGCATTTTGGACCATCTGCATGTCTCTGAGATGATTGCAGGGACATAAAATTGGCCTCTGGATTTGCCATACATGCCTAAACTGGTTTAAAGACATCTTAGCCAACAGGGTTTTTAAAAACAAATTGAGTAAATTTGCACTATTTCTCAAGAGGGATGGAGTTTATGAAGTATGGCAGAACCCTCATCTGTCATACTTCCACAAACTGTGAGTTGAGAACAGAGCTTGGAAATCCATTATTCTGGCCTCTGTCATGACAAGGCCAAATATGGAAGCTGGCATCTGATGTCTTTAATCCCAACCTGTGCCAGCATGTTTGCAATTCCTATTTGAGGAAACACATTCCTTCCCCTTACTTCACATATGGAAGGGAAGGCCTCTTGAAGTTTGGACCTGGGTCTGCTGTCACTGCTGTGATACACCATGACCTGATCTGACAGGGACAACCCTGTTTAATCTTCTGTCATCCTACTTTTTCAGGTGCTTTTCAAATGTCCCAGTTTCTCTCTCTTCCTCCCACTTTCTGCTTTAGCCTTTAGCTTCCTTCAGTTGCTGCTGAGTTCAAAGTGCAGAAGTAGTTTGCACTCAGTTAACTCAGCAGGGACAAAAAGAGAAGAAGGGGTGGAATCTTGCCCTTCCCAGTAGGCTCAGGCAAAAGCAAACTACTGCAGCCTCTTCTAGCTTGTATGTTCTTCCTCATTAATAACTTGACTACACTCTGATGTTCCTTAGCTCTGTTTGTCCTGGTTTACAATGGTGAAATGTTGGAGGAGATGCGGCACGTGTCACAGCAAATACCACCTAAGGTCTCTTTCACACATAGTTATTGCCCTTTGATGCCACTTTACATGTCCTGCCTCTGTCCTATTAAAATCCTGGGATTTGTAGCATTGTGAGGGATTTAGAATTCATTGACAGAGTTCTTATTTTCTCACCATGCTGCAAATCCCAAGATTCTGCAAGATATTAAAGTGGTATTGAAGCAGTATGATTGTCTAGTGTGAAAGATGCCTGAAACAAGAGTGGGGGGTAATCTGCATGTTGGGGGAGGCACATGCCAGCAATGGGCAAAACTAGAGCCAAACATGAGAGCAAGGTCATCCCTTTTCTGCTACCATCTTCTCTCCTTCCCACTTAACAGACTGTTAGGGAGGGACAGCTTATTCCTGCCAGAGCAGATCTCTTTCAGATAGCTACTGCAATCAGGCAGAAGGGTGCAGCTTGCAAGCCACCATGGCGTAGTGGTTTGAGTGTTGGGCTATAACTCTGTGAAGACCAGGGTTCAATTCCCAGTTTGGCCATGAAACCCACTGGGTGACCTTGGGCAAGTCACACTCTCCCAGCCTCAGAGGAAGTCTTGCCAAGAAAACCCCAAGATAGGGTTGCCATAAGTCAGAAATGACTTGAAAGCACACAGCATGTGCAGCTTGCTCACAGCTGTTGTTAAGACTGGAGGTACCATGATATAAGAGGCATTCTACCTTCTCACAGAAGGAATGAGGCCCTGAGGCCCACTTTCCCCTAGTTAACATTTTACAACTTTAAAAAGCCTGTGTGTATGCATGCAAAATTTCAACTCCTGGGCAGTCTACCAGTGCATATGTGTATCCCCATATACTACCAAGTCACACACCTTTTGGAGTTAGAATAATGCATCTAGATTTCCATCATTTTGGAATACCAGGAATATGAAGTTTCAAATGTAGATCCTTGTCTTACCAAGCTGGAAGGCAAATTCATGAGAGATAAGGTTATCAAGAGCTGCTAATCATAATGGCTATAGCAGTATCAGATACAGTATGCTGGGGAATGAGTCAATGTGGTTCAGTAGTTTGAGCGTTGGATTATGAGTCTGAAAACCAGAGTTTGAATCTATGCTTGACCACAGAAACCCATTGGGTGACCTTAAGCAAGTCATACTCTCTCAGCCAAATTGGAGAGGCAAAGACAAACCTCTTGAACAAAGCTTGCCAAGAAAAGCCCATGATAGGGTTGCCATAAGTCGGAAACTATTTGAACGCACACAACAACAACATGCTGGGGAACATATGCTGATGGTACAACTGCTACTCACGCTCGATCAGAGGCATATCGTTGGCCACCATGAGGACAGAATGGGCTAGGTAGTGCTTTGGTCTTCTTATATTCTTATCTATTAAGAATAGAGCCCAGTTCTTATATTCTTCTCAATTTGAGGAGAATAAATTCATTTCAAGTTGCTGTGGAATGCTTTCCAATATTCACTGATGGTGGCAGAGGATAGCTAGGACTGACTCTACCATATGGGCTAGTGCAAACATTATATGTACATTACCCAATTGCTGGTTGTGGTTGCCATTCATGTAGCAAGTGACAATACACTCAGCACAGCACAACCATGCATGGAAGCAATATATTTCCTGATACATTTTGCAGTCACTGGATCAAGATGTTACACTTAAAATCAGAAAAAGCTGGATTTAAACCTAGATTTAGACACTAAATCAGAATGGGTTGCTGTAAGCAACTTACTCTCAGTGTGTTTCCCTACAGGAAGCTTGTAAAAGTTACTTTCATGGACTACAACGCCCAGGATCTCAAAGCCAGCATGGCCACAATGCTGTCTTGAAGGTTCTGGGTGCTGTATTACAGACCTATCCCCAAAAATCCTATCCAAGCTCTGTCCCTACCTGTGAAATGGAAACATTAAGGATCTACCTCAGAGGATTGTTGTGAAGATGATAGTGGTGATGCTGATACTGATGTGAGGAAGATTGTAAAGCATTTGGTGCTATAAAGAAATGTTTTAAAGAAGTTCTCTCCCTCCCATTCCAATTTTCTGTGCTTCTTTCCCCACCTCTCACCCCAACAAACCTTTTCCCAGGAGATTTCCCACTTCCTCAGACCAGATCTTTCTGTTCTGTCTCCAGTTTGCTCCATACCCTCCCACTTTCTTTCTGATTAAAGAATGGGCACATCTCCTTGTTATCATGTATTTATTTTTTAATACTGTCCGTAATATGGAGAATAAACTTTCCCTCTGCATTATGGAGGGGCAAAATGATAAGTGGATTTGAGATTTTGTTAGTACAGTTGAGAACAGCCTCTTGCTCTCCATTAATAACTAGTGAAGGTTTGAAGGTATCAAATTTACACGGTAGATGGTTCTGAGATTGATGAACAACATCAGGTTGTCTCCAAATGAAGGGATCATTGAACTACCAAGAAAGAGACATAGCACAACTAATTTGTTTTCACCTCCCTCATAGATTTCCTTTGGTAAGTAGGAAAGATTGAGGAAAGAGTGGGAAAATACGGGACAGTTGCAAAAAGATGGCATTGTCTGGAGACCGTTGTTGGGCAACCAAGACTTAATTTTGGGGAATTTATAATTAGCTCAAATGAGAGGGAAGCGCCCAACTTCGCTTCTAGGACCTTAACCAATTGTCTACGGGAGATGTAAGAGTTATCGGCTACGAAAGACACTGAGACCGACCAAGCTCTAATTAAAGTCTAAAATATTTATTTTGGCAACAATAAGCAAACATCCAAATGAAGCATGCACACACACACACTAGAAGAACGAGCGGGGGAAGAGCGAAAGCGGAGAAGGCAAAGAGAGAAAGACCAGAGCGGGGGATATACTTACACCCGA